TGAAAGCAGCTTTGATGTTCTTTCTTCTTTCAACATACCAGCCATATCACCACCGAGCGGGGTGGCCCAAAAGAAAAAACTAAATTTTTTTTTTTTTAAATTTTATTAATATATACAGGAGAAGGGGTTATCTATCCCCCCCTTGCTCCGGCATTTTATCCCTCATATACAACACGCATGGCTTATGGAGGAATAAGTTCTGTTCCACTCCCCATGGGAGGTAAGAGGAAATACCAAGACAAGAACTAGAAAGAAAATAGAAGAAAACACAGAGGGGTTGTGTGTGTGTATATATGCTTGTATGTGGTCATTGAGAACTAAATGCAAGTGAAGTAGCAAGACATACCTGATATCTGCATGCTTTATGAGACCAGAACAAATGACACCAGCAATCCTACCATCATGTAAAACAATAACACAGGCTTTCGTTGTACACCTCACTTGGCAGGACGGTAGTACCTCCCTGGGCTGGTTGCTGTTTCTACCAACCTACTACCTAGAAAGCTTTGATGTTATCCTCTTTTTAATACCCTTGTGATTTTAGTCCAACAGATTTCCTCATTTGAGGGCATACCCAAAAACACTTCCCTGGTTTTTAATACTGCTTCTGTAGCTAAGGTTCTTGGATATCTGGCAATACAAGGGGCGTGACAAACCGAATTTCCACAAAAATGACAATATCCATGACTGGAAGGCCCGTTTGTTTTATATGACTGCAGACACATACAGACTTCCGATAATGAGTTGAATGGTTGATTTAGCTGTAAGTTCTACTAGCAACCTCTTGAATACTCTATGTAATAACCTTCCTTAAAGTGAAGCTCTAGCTATTTGTATTTCTATGCTTCTAAATGTACTTGTATATTGGACAGCTTACCGGGTACGTACCTGATTTATATTATAGTTTGTGTTTGATAAGGCGCCTACAACTCCATCCGTTTACCAGTCTGGCTTTATTGTCTAACGAAACCGTTTGAAAACGCTCAGTCAAGGGTTCGCAGGCCTGTCGATCTTGATCTGATACAGTGGTCACTAATTTAAAACATACTAGTCAGATGTTACTGGGCTAACTACATGAAGGATCTACTTGAAATAATCTACCCAGAAACATAGATGCGATTTGATTGATACAAAAACTATAACTTACTTGTTGAAGAACCCCGTTGTTTCTGGCAGCTCCTACAATGACGAACGTCGAGCCTCAACCCATGTTTATATCAATCAGCTTTATCCGAGCTTTTCTAGTTTGTTTTTTCGTCTCCACGCTACCACAATCAATGCTATATTAACACTCTGTGACTGGTGCAAATGTTTTTGATAAAGGTGATTTGTATGTGACCTCAGAACACTCACTCTAAGTACATCTCGCAACCCTGATCAGATGTTTTTTTGAAAGAACAGAATCGTATTTCACCCATTGAGAAGCCATATAGGTAAGGTCCATAGGGAGGGAGGTGCTACCAGGACTTTTGTAACTCTGTCTTGGAGAAATTGTGTGGCCAATTGTGTCCACAATTGAGGGATTTGAAGGGTTTGGGGCTGACCCTTGATGATCTTATGTCAGTTGTTTAAATCCATTGTGAGGCACTGGGTGCTTCATGGGTTTGCATGTGATTTTAGGAGGAAGTGGAAGAGTTGGTGGAGGACCACAACAAAGAGCTAACCAATGAGGAGCTGCAAGAGCTTCAGCAGGAACAGCAAACAGATGGCAGCTCTGAATCTTGCTGCAGAGAGGGGAGAGAGATGGAGGAAGGTACCTTCCCTCAGCAATTAAGTAGAGATTTTTGAACATTTGGGGTAGGATGGTGGTACAGATTTATGGAGAAACCAAAATACACCAGAGAAGGATGAATGCAAGCCATAGTCGGCGGCAACTTGTTACCAGTGACAGAGTCTTGGCCCATGTTTAGGGAAGTTAAAGAGGACCCGAGAAACAAGCTCTATGGACAGGTTTTTTTTGCGGAGAGCAGGACTCCATTGACTCTCCAGGGTGGCATCCTAGTGGCGATTAAGAAACAGAAAAAGAGAAGTCAACCCCAGAAAAGCAATTGGTACCCAAGGTGTGATGTGGAAGGGGATTCCCTTCCAAACCGTAATTCATTCCATCAGTCTCCACCAGTCTTCCTACACTAAGAAGACTCGACCAATAAAGGTAAGTGTTATTCAGATTAAATGTATTAATACATCATGTGCCCTGTATTGATTTATGTTCTACATCAATATTTCATTGTATAAAATTTATTTTGCTTTAATACTTCTGTGTGTCAGGAACGGATTAATTGAATTTACATTATTACTTATGGGGAATTAAATTGAATCGTAAATCGTCCCATTACGAGTAATGGAGACCCAACTTCCAGGTAACGATTACGGGACGATTATTTGAGGGACCCCTGTATCGTACCGAAAGCAGTCAAAGGAGTGTAAAAGTGCTGTACTTGTTTTGTTTTATTTTTTTAAATTTATCTTCTAACCAAAAATAGGGTAATCTTTCATTTTTTGAAGGTAATAGCACGAAAAATGAGAAATTGATGAACAATATTTTGAAATAAAGCAGGCGCAAAGTTGTGGCCTGGGCGCAATTTACATATTGGAAATCCACGCCATCCTTGATGGCATATTTTACAAGCCAGTTCATTGCTCAATCCTATTCCTGGCCTATCTTGTTGAGCATACAAAATGGGCGCCATTCCAGCTTTAAGAACAACCGATAAGTGACACTGAAGTGTTGGATAATCATTTAGCACAAAATTCAGAAGATTCCATTTTTAAAACAGTCCAAAATAAACACTGTAGGCATTCCAGGACAAAAGCAACTTTCTTTGTATCATTATTCATAGTCTGAGGCTCTCCTAACAGAAAACTTGCTTTCCATTTTGAATCCCTCATCACTACTGTGAGGCCATGGTCTCAGAGCTGGAGCAGCGGGGGAGCATTGAACCCCCTGAAACCCTCTCCAGGTAGACAACATAAACAAACAACCCAGAGAATCTTGGTCCTTGGTTTAGGCCTTCCCAGCAATTAAAGTGAACCTATAAAAACCCATAAAACCGGGGGAGGGAGGGGGGAGCTTCTACCGCTTCCTCAGAAATCTCCAAAAATTGAATACCGATTTCCTTCCACCCTGAGGGCTTTTCAGGACTGACTTCTGATCTGACACTGACTTAAATCATCTCCTATTTTCTGCTATGTGTCTTGATTGCTATGAAATGACCTCAGAAAAACAGTCAATGAAACCTGAAAATCACTTGGGAAAATGCCTCAAGTCACTGTTTTAACTCAAACATAAGGTTCAAGGCTAGCAGTTTTCCAATGCATGGCACAGTATGTTGCAAATTTTTTTTTTTGTTCTAACTGTGCACACCGAAAGGCACACAAGCATTCTCTCAGTCTAGGCCACAATTTTTCCCACTCAAAGAATTCAACGATGCAGGGATAAGAACTAAGACTACATACGTGGAACACTGACCAGCAATTAATTAGTTCTACTCTATCAACTTGGAGACAAACTTGTACACAATGTAAAGATATGAAAACTAGACACGTTCATTAGTTTGTTGCATTATGTGGTGAGTGGGGTGGGGAAGTCTGCCCTCTTGCTGGCTACGCCATTACTTCCTACCTGATGTCCATACAATAAAACTCACCTCTCACCCTGCAAATAAGACTACAGAATAGTTTTAAAAGTTTAATAAAGAGTGTACAGATGATATGCATTTATCGACTCTAGGAAGCTTAATGTCGTAGTAGGTATAAGTGGCCAGGCAGATGCCTTACCATGCCCACACGACAGGTCTACAAATAAATACTTTTTTCGCCTCTCACTCTAACTTAAGATCCATTAAGACTACAAAATTTAAAGGTAAGTAATGTGCGTGTACTGTATATGCATCTTGTATATCGCACATGGGGAGCTATAAGTCATCAAAGGTATAGTATGTGTGGGTGGGGTAGCAGGAGGGGCTACCACACTTGCTTCTATACTAAAAAATTACTCACCTTTTGCCTACCATTATAGACTACAAATCTTTAAGGTAAATAATGAGGTGTACTGTGTGTGTAATTTCCTTTTTATTGCCTATTTTATTGCTAACTAATATATGTTAGTGTACAATTTGTAATCTGGTATTTATAAGCATTATATGCATTTTCTAATCTATGATGCTTCTAATGCTAGCTTAGTTAAGTTTTTTACAGGGTTTGATAAGTGATTATTTGTTTTGATTAAGAGTTTTATTAATGCGCAAATTATTCTTAAATTCTGTATGGCATAGAACCATTTACTGGTATAACGAAGCAGGATTTAAATTTTTCCCATTATTTGTCTCCAGAATTTTTCCTGTGCCACATGGTTGAACATTTAATAAGACCATGTTGATTTATGCACACCTTCTTTCCAGTAACAAAAACACTTATTTGTCATTGAAAATAGTTTTGGGCTCTTTTAAGTATACATAGTTTGAAAGTTTACAGTAAATAAGGGAGACAGAGGAAATAAACAAATCATAAAATGGCGTGTTTTTTGGTATTGGAAGATTTAGAATGTATTGTCAACGTGATAGTTGGTAATCACTGTAAAAGTTGGCAGTTATTAAAGTACTACCCTAAAAACTTCTCATCTCTCATACTACAGTAATAAGTTTAGTAGTTAATTGAGGCAGTCAAAGTTTTAGTATAAAGACAATTATGAAAGAGCAAGTTTTTATTAGGAAATGTTTTACTCAATGATTGAACTGTATGCAAATTGGAGGATACTTTTTACACCCACACCACACACACCAACACAGCACACACACACACAACACAACACAACACACACACACATCAACACACACACACTACACATACACTCAACAATTTCAGTAGAAAATTATGTTGTGTGTTCGAAAGTAAGACGTATAATCATTATTAACAACAGTTTTTTAAATGAAATAAAATGAATTTATTTTTTACTCACTGTATGGTTATAAATTCATATTTTGTATCTGAATTTGGGGCAGATTTAACAGCAGAAAGACTGATAATGTACGCAACGCTGGCAAGCCAACAGATCATACTGTTTGTCTGGACAAAAGGAATGCTTCAGGCACAGATAAAAATTATCAGGTAGAACCGCTGTTTCCGTTCAACTTCAGATTTTTTTATGCTTGTGTAGTCATCCATTAATAACATAAGACCATAAGAAAGAAGGACACTGCAACAAGGCCTACTGGCCTATGCAAGGCAGGTTCAGGTTCTCCCCACTGGCTTAAGACTCACTGGACCTAGTGACCTTAAGCTCACTCTGACCGTCTCGGCCTCACTGACCTATGTGAGGTTCAGACATGTCACTTAAGGGAGGTGCACGGCATCGACCTAGTAGCACAAGCTAGTTAGGTCCATCTGCACACACCCACCCACACCCACTCGTTATTTATCCAACCTTTATTAAAACAACAGCAATGTCTTAGCTTCTATGAAGGTACTCGGGGTTTGTTCCACCTCATCCACAACTATCTATTACCAAACCAGTGCTTTTCCTATATCCTTCCTGAACTGAATTTTTCCAATTTAATAAAACCATGTTCTGCAAGTCCTGTCTATGTTAGATATTTTTAGCATGCTATTTACACCCCTGTTATTAAATTCGTTTTTCCAATTGATACACCTCAATCATTATTATTATTATCACAGCCAGCCGTTCCCACCAGAGGCAAGGGTGGCCCGAAAAAGAAAAACTTTCACCATCAAATTTGGGTCAACACCATCATGTCTTGCCAGAGAGGGTGGCTTTACAACTACAGTTTTTTAAACTGCAACTTAACACCGCCTCCTTCAGAGTGCAAGGCACTGACTTCCCACCCGGCCCTATGTGTGGGAACTGGCCGATCTGGCGTTTAATAATAAAAAAAAATGACATACGGAAGGGGATCATTGTTATTAGTTGTCTTAAAAGATTATAAGAATAAATTTACCAATGATTTTACTGACATTAGCATTATTTTTGAATGATGAACACAAACTATTACTCTGATTGTGGTTTAAAGTGAGAATCTTTCTTTCCTTCAGAAAACTATAACTGTTCAGGGGGGGTTTTTTGCTTAGCTGGTTCATATTATCGTTGTTCTGCACAGTAACCGGCTTACCCTCAAGATAAATGGCTGCATCAAATAAATTTGGATCACTAAGTGTTTAATATTAAAAAATATGTATCAAAAATCTGTCATTCTAATATCTGTTCCTCCATCTCTACCTGGAATTATTTCGTCAGATGGTAACCTTTAAGATGTGAGCCTTCAAAGATTATATTCTTTACCAGAGCCACCATTACTTAACAAGCTTGGCAGACCAAAGTCAAACATTCTTAAGTGTCACGCCACATCCAGTGACTGCATCATTTATCAAGGCACATTTAATAGTGTATATTTTTTGAAGGTTTCATGATATCCCTTTTCATTTTACTGTAAGGTGGCTTGCTTAATCTAGTTGTTACATGTGTCTCTGAATTCTGTCTCATTGTTTGATCCATGGGCTGTATTAGGGCAATACAGTTAGGTGGCACAAATGTCCATTCTCACATGTGGATTATACATTGCATTAATTTTGTTATATTTAATATGTGAATAACCACAGCAATTATCCAGTAACAGCAAAATCTTGCAGTCTTTAGAACTCATCACTGTTACAGTCTTCCATGGCTTTTTTTTTTTTTTTTTTTTTGCAAAATCATTTATAGGCTAAGTCCTGTGCAACTTGAGCAGTCTTACTTGCCTCATAATGAAGTGGCAATTTTTTTGTATCTTTTATTAACATATGGAGACTAGTTTTAGTTCCTAATGTACTAAGAGTTTCATTTATGAGTGCCAACTGCACCAACACTTAACATAAGTTAAATTTTCCTTAACTTTGATGTCATTCTCTATTGCCATGTTATGGTAAGAGATATCTTGCATTTTTTTTTTATTTTTACACATTTGCTACTCCTCTTACCAGTGCCACAGTAAGTACTGCGCAAGTGGTTGTTTAAACAAGTTGGTACACACATGAATGTATTAAATTTGTAAATCAAGTAAAATGTAATTACCAAAAGTCACAAATTTGAGCAGGGCATGTAGAGAAGAACCAGATGGTGTGATGCCATGGAGCATCATCGACACTTGAAGCTGAAGATGCTGAATAAACAACTCTGAAGAGGAAGAGGCTGGAAACACTTAAACTTTTTTATTGAGAATGTGATTAAATGGGAATCTTTTTAATGGTCGTTGGCAGAGGAAGCTAATTAGAATACAGTGTCTTTTCTTGATCCTGTCAGTAGGTTCAATGCGTTACGAATTAGTCCCTACCAAAAATGCTGCATATTATAGTGCTCTTTATGCTCAGCAATATTTTATTACATATAAACTACAATTTGTAATGCTGGCAGAAAGGAAAAATGAAGTTAGTTATTTTGATTGTGTAAGTCTGAGCAGGATACACAGAATGATATCAACAGTAGAACAATAGTGGCAACCTTTTTTAACATTTGCATTTAGCTGAATAGGGAGAGTGTGGATGGGGAGGCTGTTTTTGTCTTCTTGGAGTGAAGGTGAGTCTGTATATTGAGCTTCTTGGATGAAGGGAGAGGCTGTTTTGTCTTCTTAGATTAAGGGGGAGGCTGTTTGTCTTCTTAGATGAAGAGGGAGCTGTTTTGTCTTCTTGATGAAGGGGAGGCTGGTTTTGTCTCTGTGATGAAGGGGAGGCTGTTTTGTCTTCCTGGACGAAGGGAGAGGCGTGTTTTGATCCTTCTTAGATGAAGGGGAGCTGTTTTGGTCTCTTGATAAGTGGGAGGCTTTTTGTCTCTTAGATGAAGGGGGAAGGCTAGTTTTGTCTTCTTATGAAGGGGGGAGGCTGGTTTTGTCTCTTAGTAAGGGGAGGCTGTTTTGTCTTATTGGACAAGGGGAGGCTGTTTTGTCTTCATGGACAAAGGAGAGGCTGTTTTGTCTTCTTGGATGAAGGGGAGGATGTTTTTGGTCTTCTTGGATGAAGGAGAGGACTGGTGTTGTCTTCATGGGGATGATGGGGAGGCTGTTTTGTCTTCCTTGGATGAAGGGGAGGCTGTTTTGTCTTACTGAAAAGGGAAAAGGATGTTTTGTCTTAATTGGATGAAGGGGAGGCTGTTTTGTATATTGGATGAAGGGGGTGGATGTTTTTGGTATTATTGGTTGTTGGAAAGGATGGTTTTGTCTTCTTGGATTATGGAGAGAGGCTGTTTTGTATCTTGGGACAAGGGGGAGGCTGTTTTGTCTTCTTCTGATGTAAGAGGGAGGCTGTTTTGGTCTTCTTGGATGAGAGGGAGGCGTTTTGTCTTCTTGGATAAGGAAAATAAGAGAAAAGGAGTCTTATTTATAGTCATACATGGATGAAGGGGGAGCTGTTTTGTCTTCTTGAGATTCAATGGTGGAGGGCAGTTTTAGGTCTTCATGGCTAAGGGGAAGGCAGTTATGTTCTCGTTATGATGAAGGGGGCAGCTTTTTGTCCTTCTGGCTAATGAGGAGGCTGATTTGTATCTTCTTGATGAAGGTAGAGGTGTATTTTGTCTTCTTAGATAAGGGGGAGGCTGTTTTGTCTTCCAAGGAATTGAAGAGGGAAGGCTAGTTTTGTGGTCCCCTTCTTGATGAAGGGAGAGGCAGTTTTTGTCTCCTTACGTGGATGAAGGTAGAGGCCTGTTTTGGTCTTCCTGGATGAGAGGGGGAGGGCCTGATTAGGTCTTCCTGGATAAGGGAGAGGCTGTATTTGTCCTTCCTAGGAATGAAGGGAAGGCTGGTTTTGTCATCATTGGGATGTAGGGGGAGTGCTGTTTTGTCTTCTTGGATGAGGAGGGAGCTGTTTTGTCTTCCTGGATGAAGGGAGAGGCTGTTTTGTCTCTGGATGAAGGTAGATGCTGTTTTGTCTTCTTGGATGAAGGGGGAAGGCTGTTTTGTCCTTCATGGATGAAGGGAGAGGCTGTTTTGTCTTCCTGATGAGGGATAAGGCTGTTTTGGGTCTTCTTGGATGAAGGGGGGAAGGCTGCTTTGTCTTCCCGATGAAGGGAGAGGCTGTTTTGTCCTTCTTGGATGAAGGGGGGATGGGTATTATTATAAAAATATTATTGCTTATGCTGGAAAATTTCTTACATTACTGCTATAAATTTACGATGTTTTTGGTTTTCTGTCACAGCAGGCCCGACCTAGAAGTTCCAACCACAATTTCCAGATCTTATTATCAACAGGAATAATAAAATAATATTTGCATAATATGCAACAATGTAACTTGAAGAATGTTGAAGATGACATAGTTTTAAATCCATTAAACGTTAAAGCTCTGGAATTCCGTTCTGTTGATGGGCAAAAACTGGACTCAGCATTTTATAGGTCTAGAAACAAATAGTTTGTTGTCTCTCATCGCCTTAGAATAAGTTAGTGGCCTAATTATCATTTGGGAGTGAATAATGTGAAGGTATTCATGATTAAAGGTGCTTTGATATATGTGCTCTCCTATGTGGGATTCAAAGGATGAAAAAAAATATCATGTTAACCTTTTTTCTGTCATGGACGCCCCCACAATTAACCTTTGACTGTCGGCAACGGCCAAATCCTGTGATTCTCCCTGTGTTGAAATTTTTTGAAAAAAAAAAAAAACATTTTTCTTATTGAAACGATAGAGAAACTTTTTCCGCTAGTAATGACAACCAAAAGAAGAAATTTTGATGGAAAAATTAATGAGGAATTACGCTCTTAGCTAAGTTATCTCGACCTGGTGATATTTACGGATCGGCGATTTCGCCACTTGAGCCCTATTTTTGGCTAATTCATTGTTCCAATTGACCAAACGTCATACTATCTCTTTATAACTCACATTTGTTCTATCGATTGAGTACGAAGAACTGCCCATTTACCAATTTCAGCTACCTAGTGGAACATGGTCAGAAAGATTGCAATTTGGCCAATTTAATAATGCAAATTAAAAATTGGCCAATTTCAAAATAGAGGGTCTAGAATGAACAACTGACAGACCATTCCTGGCTCTAAAATAACATTTCTTGTCATCAGTCCATGTCTCCAGTCCGCCTCTGATAATACTCTGCTATCTATTTTGAATTTTTATTCAAACAAAAAAAAAGAAGATATTACTGTTTGCAAATATAACTGCTATATTGTCTAAGATTGTATAAATAATGTCAACCCATTCCATGACTCTGCATATTAGAATGGTTTATACTGGACATTTATTAGAAATGACATCCATTGTTTTTTACTTTTGAATATAATCGCAAAAATCAAACACTTCCGCTAATTTTGAGCTGCCATTTCAAGTTCTTTACATAGTAAAACCAATCAAAATCACCAATAATATCTATAGTATGTTTTTCCATTCTGTCAAATGAGATCAAGAAACACGGAGAAAAAACCATAAATATTATATGAAAAATACACCACAAGATTTGCATTTTTAATACAAAAACCGGTGGAAGTTTTTTTTCTAATTATGCACTGTGTGCTTGCAGGATTTTTTTTTATATGGTGCACACTGACCACACAGACACATTCTTTTACATGTGGGCCTACCAGCCTTGATTTGAAGGCCGCTAAAATATTTGAGTAAAAGTAAATAACGTCAAACACGGTGCGTCGTAAGGCATAAATATACAAAGGTCCCCAATAATCGTCCGCCTGAAGTCGTTTCCATGATTCGGAAATACGTAGTATCCTGTTTTTTCGTCAAAATATTTGTGCTGCGAAATGGTCCGTAAACTCGCTAATAGTCCTATCGACCCATGACGCGTATGCACGATCGGAGCGGCATCGAGCCGCCCAAGGCCTTTCCTTCCGCAGCCAGTGTGCCATTGTCTTAAAACAGTGAGCGACGGTCCCCTCAGCGTGCTCCAGTGAAAATTCATAATATTTCATTTATTTAGTGCTTGCAAGTTAATATAAGTGGCTAAATAAGCTACCTATGGCTCCAAAGAAAGCTCTCTAGTGCAGAGCCTTTGGTAAATAATTTCAGAAATACGATTGAATTTAAGAAAAACATCATTGAACAATATGAAAGTGGCGTACGTGTTGGGTGAATTCGCAGGATGTATAACAAATCCCTACAACCATATCTTCCATCAAAGTCAAGAAAAAGGAAATCAAGGATGCTGTAGTTGCACAGGGGGTTAAATATGCTGACAAAAATGAGATCACCAGTACTCGAATATGTTGATAAGTTATTATTGGTGTGGATAAATGAGAGAACAATGTAGCAGAGGCAGTCTTAGACGTCGCTTATTGTGAAAAGGCAGGCGTTGCATGACGATTTGGTAAAGAAAATGCTGCAACTAGTGAGAAGTGAGTGAATTTAAGGCTAGCAAAGGCAGGTTTGAGAGATTTAAAGAAGCGTACTGGCATACACAGAGATGGTAAGGCATGGTGAGGCTGCCAGTTCGAAACACAAAGGCGGCTGGAAAAATATGTGCATGAATTCCATGATTACATAAACAGTGAATGGACTGAAACCTGAACAAGTGTTCTATTGTGACGAAACAGGCCCTCTTGGAAGAAAATGCCAATAGGACCTTTCATTACACAAGAGGCAACGGCAATGCCAAGGACTCAAGACGAGCCTATGAAAGACAGGCCCTGACGGCCTAATGTTCTGTGCTAATGCTAGTGGGGGATTTCAAAGTTAATACCCGTTTACATTGTAACCATTCAAACCTGAAATCCCAGAGTGTTCAGGAAAAACAATGTTATGAAGAGTAAAATTGTGTGTGTTTTGGAAAACTAAAAGTAAGGCATGGGTCACGATGGAAATTTTTGTAGAGTGTACAACGAAGTGTTTGGCCCTAAAAAAGTGTGAAAAATTACCTCCTGGAGAAAGAAATTTGTGATCGCAAGTGCCTGCTAGTAATGGACAATGCACCTGCTCATCCTCCAAACTTGTGATGACCTAATTCTGAAGGATTATTGGGTTCCATCACAGTAAAGTTTCTTGCCCCCGAATACCACTCCTCTCCTCCAACCCATGGACCAGCAGTCCATTGCAACTTTAAAAAACTCTACTGAGTTTAACACTGGAGGAGGAGTTCCGGGGGTCAACGCCCCCGGCGGGAGCCCGAGTTCATGACCAGCCTGCCTGGTGGATCAGAGGCCTGATCAAACAGCTGTTGGCATGCCAGGCTGCACGCGAAACGCAACGTACGAGCCGACAGCCCCCCCGGCCGTGGTCAGAACCAACTTTAGGATGCTTGACCAGTGCCATACATTGAAGACTGCCAGGGTTCAGTTGGTAATCCCCATATGTATGCTGGGAGGCAGATTGAACAATCTCGGGGCCCCTGACACTTATTGTATGGTTCTTAACATGCAAGTGACACCCCTGCTTTTCATGTGGGGGGATGTTTGCAACTCGACTGCCAAGTCTTTTGCTATTCGTAGTGAGTGATTTTCGTGTGCAAGTTCGGTACTAGTCCCGCAAGGATTTATCCATGTGTAGATAATCATGTAATCTCTCCCTGCCTGCTTTCTAGGGAATACAGTTGTTTAGGAACCTCAAGCGCTCCCATAATTGAGGTGTATTATCTCCGGTTATATGCGCACGCCGTGAAGGTTCTCTCTACATTTTCTATGTCGGCAATGTTCACCTGCCTTGAAAGGTGCTGTCTTAGTGTGGGCAGCAATATTCCAGCCCTAGATAGAACAAGTGACTGGCAGAGTGTCCATCATGGCTTTGCCCTCCCTAGTTTGAAGTTCTCATTATCCATCCTGTCATTTATTCTAGCAGATGCGATTGATACAAATGTTATGTCCTAGAAGGTGAGATCGTCACGACAATATTACTTACTTACTCCCAGTCTTTTGACGGGTGTATCGCTCTATTTTGTGGCCAGAATTTGTTTTTGTACTCTGATGAAGATTGTAAATATCCTCGTGTTTACCATTTCTTAGTAATTGAAATTTCTCATCGTTGAACTTCATATGTGGCTTTTCCTGCAGCCCAACTGAAAGATTGTGTTGATTCCGGCCTGTGAGCCTTGCAGTGGGTCTGCCATGGAAGACACTGTCACTCAGATTCCGGTGTCATCTGCAAAGGAAGACATTGTGCTTGTGGCTGAACATCCCTTGTCTATGTCGGAATATGTAGGATGAGGAACATGATGGTAGCGAGTAACTGTGCCATGTGAACAGAGTTTTCAACCGTAGCTGCCGATCGACTTTACTCTGTTGACGACTGCTTCTGCAGTTCTTGATTAGTGAGGAAAATGTATATAATCCATCGACCGACATTACCTGTATAATTCCTTAGCACGCATTGTTGTGCGCTATTACGCCATTGTCACAACTTGTCAAAAGGCTTTGCAAGGTCCAGTAAGTATATTACATCTGTCATTCTATTTGTCTCTAGGGCATTAGGACCTTGTCGTAGTGATCCAATAGTTGAGACAGACAGGGAGCTACCTGTTCTAAGACCCATGTTGCCCTGGGTTTTGTAACGATGGTTTCAAGATGGGTTGTAGTAAGCTGTATTGGTTTTCTTGATGGGTGGTGATCTTGCTCTAAGACCCTTTCAAAGATTATTTTATGATATGTGGATTAGTGCAATCGGTCTGTATTTCTTTGCTGTTGCAATTATTGTCCACCCTTTGTGGAGAGGGTGCAAAGTCTGTTGTTTTTAGTAACTGTTGGGAACGACCCCCGTGTCCATTTGCTTCCCTCTCCCATAGGATGGAACTAGAGCTCATGATCGGGGCATCTTGCAGTTCTTGATGAACACGGAGTTCGAGGCGAGTCTGGCCCTGGGGCAGAGTGCCATGGGCAATGTCAATTATCGCCTAATCGAAGTCAATTGGCATCAGTGATAACATCGGGATAGGCTTGTGTAAACCAAATTTTGTAGTCTCTCTTATTAAAAAATTATTTTGATCTTCGACTCTCAGTCTGGTGTACGGCTTGCTAAAAACTGAGTGCATTTTGGGACTGAGTAACTCACTCATTTCTTGCTGTACATCTGTGTGAGGACCCACTTGTTTAAGTAGGGCCCAATACGTTAAAAAGCCAGTTCCATTGCTCAAATCAACTATTCCTGGCTATCTGTTGAGCATACAAAATGGCCCATTCAGCTTTCAGAACAACCGTATAAGTGCACTGAAGTTGGTAATCTTTACACAAAATTCAGAAGATTCCATTTTTAAAACAGTCCAAAATAAACACTGTAGGCATTCCAGGAACAAAAGCAACTTTCTTTGGTTCATTATTCATGTCTTGAGGCCTCTCCTATAAGAAACTTGCTTTCCATTTTGAATCCCTCATCACACTGTGAGGCCTGGTCTCAGACTGGGCTGCGGGGGCATTGAACCCTGAAACCCTCTCCAGGTAAACAGAAACAAACAAACCCAAGAATGCTTGGTCATGGTTTAGGCCATCCCAGCAATTAAAGTGAACCTATAAAAACCCATAAAACAGGGGAGGGAGGGGGGAGGCTTCTACCCTTCCTCAGGAAAATCTCCAAAAATTGAATACAGTATTTCCTCCACCCTGAGGGCTGTTTCAGGACACTTCTGATCTGACACTGACTGAAATCATCTCTATTTCTCTAGTGTGTCTTGTTGGCTATGAAATGACCTCAAGAAACAGTCAATGAAACCTTGAAAATCACTTGGGAAAATGCCTCAGTCACTGTTTTAACACAAACATAAGGTCAGAGGCTAGCAGTTTCCATCATGCACTGTATGTGGCAAATTTTTTTTTTTCTACTGTGCACACCGAAAGCACACAGCATTCTCTCATGTCTAGGCCATAATTTTTCACTCAATGAATTCAACGATGCTGGGATTAAGAACTAGATCTACATACGTGACACTGACCTCAATTAATTATTCTACTCTATCAACATGGAGACAACTTGTACACAATGTAAAGTGATGAAAACTAGACACGTTCATCTAGTTTGTTGACATTATGTGTGAGTGGGGTGGGGAGGGCTGCCCTTCCTGGCTACCCATACTTCCTAACCTGATGTCATACAAATAAAACTCACCTCTCACCCTGCATTAAGACTACAGATATTTTAAGGTTAATTAATGAGTGTACTATATATGCATTTTATCGCTCTAGGAAGCTTAATGTCGTAGTAGGTATAAGTGGCCAGGCAGGATGCCTTACCTCCCACACGACTTTCTACAAATAAATACTTTTCGCCTCTCACTCTACATTAAGACCATTAAGACTACAAATATTTTAAGGTAAGTAATGCGTGTACTGTATATGCATTTTATCGCTCTAGGGAGCTTTAAGCATCATAGTATAGTATGTGTGGGTGGGGTAGCCAGGAGGGCTACCACACTTGGCTTCTTATACTAAATATTACTCACCTTTTGCCCTACATTAAGACTACAAATATTTTAAGGTAAATAATGAGTGTACTGTGTGTGTATTTTACTTTTTAATCCTTTTTTATTGCTAATTAATATATGTTAGTTAATTTTTTATCGGGTATTTATATGCTTTTATAGGGCATTTTCTTTTTCTTTATTCTAATGCAGTTTAGTTAAGTTTTTACAGGGTTTGAAAATGATTTTTTTTTTAAGAGTTTTTAATGCGCAATTTTCTTAAATCTTATGGATAAACCATTTACTGATAAAGAAGGGGTTTTTTTTTTTTTCCCATTTATTGTCCCCAAAATTTTTCCCCTGTCACAGGTTGGACATTTATTAGTGACCTTGTTGATTATGCACCCTTTTTTCCCAGTAAAAAATACATTATTGTTTTGAAAATAGTTTTTGTCTTTTTAAGTAACATAGTGGAAAGTGGACAGAAAATAAGGGAGACGGGGAAAATAAAACAATCAAAAAAATGGCATTTTTGGGGTATTGGAATTTTTAAATGTATTGTCAATATGGGGGTAATCGAAAATGTGGGCATTTATAAGTACTACCAAAAATTTCCCACCCCTCAACAACAGTAATAAGTTTATAGTTATGGAGGCAGTCAAAGTTTTAGGTAAAAGACAATAGAAGAGCAAGTTTTTTATATTGTTTTACTCAAGATTGAACTGTATCAAATTGGAGATCTTTTTACACACACACACACACCCACACACCCCAAAACACAAACACACACACACACACACACACACACACCTTCACTCACTCACCCTCCCCCATCACCCTCTCTCTCTCTCTCTCATTCTCTCTCTTTTCTTCTCTTTCTCTCTTCTCTCTTCTCTCTTCTCTCTTTCCCCTCTTTCTCTCTCTTCTCTCTTTTCTTTTCCCTCTTCTCTCTTTCTCTCTTTCTCCTCTCTTCTCTCTTCTTTTCTCTCTCTTTCCTCTTTTCTCTTTCTCTCTCTCTTTCTTTCTCTTCTTTTCTCTCTCTCTTTCTCTCCTCTTTCTCTCTCTCTTTCTCTCTCTTTCTCTCTCTTCTTTCTCTCTCTCTTTTCTCTCTTTTTTCTCTCTTTTCTCTCCCCCTTTCTTTCTCCTTTTCTCTCTCTTCTTTCCCTTTTCTCTCTCTTTCTCTCTCTCTTTCTCTCTCTCTTTCCTCTCTCTTTCTCTTCTCTTCTCTCTTTCTCTCTCTTCTTCTCTCTTCTCTCTCTCTCTCTCTCTCTCTCTCTCTCTCTCTCCTCCCTTCTCTTTTCCTCTTCTCTCCTTCTCTTTCTC